TTGTATTTGACTAAGGCAGATCTTACAGAAAGGTGCACTATCGTTATCCCCATTTTAATCCTGGGGAAACCAAAGCAGAGCAGGGAAGTGAGTTGTCCACCATGAGTCTGGAGGCTGTTTCGCCCCAAGAAGCCTCATGTTTTTGTGTCGTGTGGTCCGCACCGCCCCTCACCCACATCACTTTCTTTAGCTTCTGGCCATGCAAGCTAGGACTCACATTATCCCTCTGGGCACTTCAGGCGAGATTCATAGGGGAGTCTTAGGCACGAAAGTCCAACATCTAGACACCAGTGGTGTTCATAATACCCTTGCTCAGATGCTGCAGAACGCTGCAGGCACCTACATTTCCATTGATGAAGTCCTCAAGGCTACTAAATTTGGCAGCTGGTCACATGCACAGCCTCGTAAGTCCTGACATCGCGCAGCAGCTCGGCACCTAACTCATGCTTAAGCCCCAGAGGGATTCACAAACCAGGTGTTTCCCTGCTTGTCTTGAGCTCAGGGCCTGATCCAGTAGGCACACACTGAGCACATCTAAACCCACATCAGAAACACCCATGGAGGAGGAGGAGGAAGAAGCAGCACATCCCTAATAACCTTTAGCCCAGTGGTTCGAGCACTCATATAGGACATGGGAAACCCAGGTTCAAATCCCCGCTCTGCCTGAGGTGGACCAGGGATTTGAATATGTGTCTGCTATCTCTCCTGAGAATGCTCTGACCACGGGGCTATGGGGTATTTTGAGGTATATTGCTCTGTTGAAGCTGTTCCACGATGTATAAATAACTAAATCTTCATTGGAGCAAGGAAAGTGCTGGGTCTCCCACGTGCAAGATGAGAACCCTAACCCCAGGGCTATAGAGTCAGTCTCACTCCAGCTCAGGGCACACTAAAGAGAGCTAGAGATAGCTGCCTCCCTTTGCCCTGCCCGCCTGGCACCTAAGGCCCAGCCCAAAGGGAGTTAGGTGCCTAAACCCCTTTAAGGGCAGGGCTTAGGCATTATGGCACCTAAGTCTCTCTTATGATTCCCACCCTCCCCGAATGCCCAGCTGGTTTCCTCTGAGAGCTGCATTCCCTGCCTGTCATTGACACAGGACAGGGTTTATCTCCTCAGAAGTTTCTCTCTCTCCTCTCCCATCATTTCGTAACCCATGTGGTCTCCTTTCCCCACTCACCCCCACCACTTGTTTCTCGTCCCCTTACTCTCCTTGTGTTAAACACTGGCTGATTAAAGCACAAGTGATCAAGTTCACTGATAGATTTAGGCTGTCTGCTCCCTGTCTACTATGGTTTGCCTTAGGATTCCACAGCTCCCAAGCAAGGAGACTATTCTAAGCTTCCAAAAGCTCACATATTTTCTTCCAGTCCCACTAATGGACAGTGCGTTGCCTGCCTCTCCAGTCTTGCTGCTAAAGAGACAAGAAGAAATCTGGCTGTGGATCATAGACCCTCGCATTTGTCTCCCTTAAATAATAATATTTGATCATCAGCATAGCACGTAGGAGCCCCAGTCATGGACCAGGACCCTGGATGCTGTACAAACACAGGAGGGAGAAAAGACCCTACCCTAAAGCACCTCCCCTGGCACAATGGCAAAGCACTTCACAAACACTAATGAATTTAGAATCACAGCAAGTATTATAATATCCATTTTACAGATGGCCCAGCAGCCACTCTGGGCAACCTTGCTTTGACGTTCTGTATCTCAAAGCCATACTTTTAAGAGTCCACCTGATGCCACTATCACTCTTGAGCATTTTGACATATTGACCCCTTCCCACGCCATCCCTCATAATGAGTAAGAGTTTGCATGATTTGGGGCATACAAAAATCAGGCAGAAGAGTTCCAATACATGAAATGCGGGTATTTAACATGTTCAGTATCAATAGCAATACATACTTGAATAACAGGGATATAAAACAAGGGAGGTTGGGAGTACAGCACAGGCCTCAATTTTCATTTGATACACTGACCACTCTTTTTAAGGTGAAAAAGATTCAAATGAGAAATGTATATATTCAACAGCAACAATAATTAATTGTAACCAAACAGAATGATTCCAAAATGCAGTAAATGATTACTAGTGTTCTCTCTCATGCAAACTACAGTTGAGTGTCCTGATATAAGTAATTTGGGTGAGTACTTGTCGCCACCATTTTCACCTGCCAACGCTAAAGCTGATTTTGTCAGCTCATTGCAACACACCATGCCTGTCTCCCATGCCCAGCATATGGTACATGGCAGTTTGGTACGCACAGATCCACATCTAGAAGGTGCATCACTCACAAAAGAGCACTTGCTTCATTTCAAAATATCCGGAGGAACAAGTGGGACATTGTCTGGTACAGTTTTTGGAAACAGACACTGCGTACCCATCCGCACTGCAATGGGTCAGGTGGTGGTGCATCTGGATCCAAAGCACTTTTCCACCCACAGGCCTGAAGATGTGCTCGTTTTCTAGAAATGCTTCAGTTGGTGGTAAGGAGGTAAGCTCTGGTGTTGACGAGGTACGCTTGCTGAATTTTGCTGCCCATGATTTCTGCCATGCTTCTGCCATGGTGGTACAATTTAACTGTCCGTAGCATGCAGGCATGAATTTAGTTGCCTGTTCAATGGCGTCAGGCATGCAGTCCTGGTACAGCGTTCTGGTGTTGCTCTGCAGCAGCATGGAATGTCTATTGCTGCTCGCTCTTGGACTAGGGGTTCTATCATCAATAAAGATGTTAGGCCCAGTTCAAGGTAATGATGCAAAAGTAAGATATACGTCAGTGACATCTGATAATACCAGCATTCCTACCATTTGTTGTACAAGGATGCTAGCTTCCTCATGCAAGATGGCCATATCTTCTCTGTTGATCACCACATCTCCCCGGTTTATTTCAGCTGGGGTGTTGTCTCTGCCTGTGATGACTAGCTTGTGGTTTAGTGTGTCATTGCTGCAACTTCTTGTCTTGAACAAGTTCTGTACCAATGTGTCAATCAACAGTTTCTTATTTTCAGTAACTGTCAAGATGACTTTCTGTGGAGGGAACTGTGTATTTTGCACTCAACTCATGCACTTTGCTTGCTTCTGTACCTCTGCTAGATTTTGTGACACACTTTGTGCTGAAGGCTTTGTACCTGTCAAAGGCAAGATATGCAACATCTTCTACTAACTCGTGTATAGTGTCAACTCTGAAATTGGTCACAAAGTCCTTGAAACAATTTGCTGGCCAGTGTACTACCCAAAGAACTGCAGAACTGACAATGACTATGCTAGTGACTTCTTCTGAAGTATGTCTAGTTGGCACCTCTGTCTGCAGCTGCTTCTTTAGGTTAGACTTAGCCTTGGCAGTCCTCATGTCACCAGTCACTGCACACTGACGTTGGTACAGGAGCCAACTCATGGTGATGAAATATTCTTGATATCAACCTGTCATGAACTTGCTTATAGGCCTAACATTCTTTAATATATAAGGTTAGTGTCAAATACCTTTGTTGGCTCAACCTATGCATGCTTTTTTGTTACTGCCAGTGCCTGTAGTAGCCTCCGTATTGTGTCATAGAACCTGTAGGCCAGCTATCCCTATAGGTAGTGATAGCTAGCATGGAAATTAAACAATGAAAAGCATAAAACAAAACAAAAACAAAAGGGGAATGAAGAAAACAGCTGACTATGGGTTTGGTTTATAATCAGTTAAAGTCTATAATTGTCCAACATTTCCAAATTAATTTGCATGAGTGAATATGTAAGAATTTGTTAAGTAAGCATGTTTTGAGAGTAAAAGACAAATATATCTCGTGTCTCAGTTGTAGGGAGGAAGGAAGGTGTAGTATTAGCAGCAAGGCATATGGCTGTAACAGGCCCTAATACAGACATATGTCTCAGAGTAGCAGCCGTGTTAGTCTGTATCCGCAAAAAGAACAGGAGTACTTGTGGCACCTTAGAGGAGTGCATATGCATCCGAAGAAGTGGGTTGTAGCCCACGAAAGCTTATGCTCTAATAAATTTGTTAGTCTCTAAGGTGCCACAAGTACTCCTGTTCTTTTTACAGACATATGTGCCTCCCTAGCTAATTATGCTCCATAACAAAATACTAGTGCAAAGCTTCCATGAAAAAGCAACTGAAATTCAATTAAAGTGTAAAGTATCAGGGGGTAGCCGTGTTAGTCTGGATCTGTAAAAAGCAACAGAGTCCTGTGGCACCTTTAAGACTAACAGTTAGTCTTAAAGGTGCCACAGGACTCTCTGTTTCAACTAAAGTGGTTACTGTCACCTGGGGTGGGGGGGGGGGGGGGGGGGGAGGTAATAAGTGCTCATATTTCAAATTGCTCAACAGTCACAAGATGGCAGGAGGCAGTTGCTTCTAAATTCAGCATCCACAACACACACACACACACACACACTATGGACACTACAACAAGGTACTGCACAAACCCTGCATTTGGCTACTGGGCTGAAATGGGAAAGCAGAGGCCACCCAGCGTGCCCCAGGTCAGACAGAGAAGGGACTCCAGGGTGGGTGGGGTGGACAGAAGGCGGTGGCTGGGCTGCTCTCTATCCTGCCTGCAAGGGGGCGAAGGAGCAGATTCCCGGGAAGCCCACTGAAGACCTGGCATTTGGGGTGGGGGGAGGCTGCTGCGGCGGCTGTTTTCCCCGAAAACAGAGTGGGGAGGAGGCGCATGCTCAGTTCCGCACCCCCAGTCCGGACCCTGCCTATTGCCACGCTGCCGCGAGCAATCGGAAGCCCCCCACGGCCGCACCCCGAACTCCACACGGGTCCCGGCTCTCACGTGGAGCAGCTCCGTCTCCTCCCTCGGAGGGGTGCAGCCTTGAAGCCCCGCCCCAATCCCGCTCTGCCTCCCATTGGCTGCTTGTCCGACGGGTTACGCCCTCTGCGGGCGGGCCCCTTTGTGACGTCACAATCAGCTGTTTGGACGTTCTAATTTCTGATCTGGTCTGAGATCAGCAGCAATAACAGAAAATAATAATAATCACCCTGAAGCCAGTGGAGGGAGGGTCCGGCCCCAACAGCAGCCGCCAACAGCTTGCAATGGTGCATATCTTCTGAGAAGAACAGACACACCACCACCACCTCCTGCATCTTTTTTTTTAATTTCCATTTATAATGTTGTTGATTTTAATTAAAACTACCTCATAGACTGCCTAAAGCTGGTGCTTTACGATATTTAAAAAAATCTTGTGGTTTCTTGCGGTGTTGTTTACAAAATAATTGCTGACATTAAAGGCAAGGTAAGTGCCATCCTCTGTTCTGAAATGTGGCTGGCTAAATTCAAACTTGAGAGCTCTCTCTTTGTACTGCGGGCAGTATTTTTTCTTTAATTGAGTATGTTGTTTACGTTTTTAAGATCTCTCTCTGCATTGAATGGGTTGGGTGTGTGTTAAAATCTCGATGTGAGGGTGTATTAAGATTTAAGAGCCATCTATTTTCTCCTTGGTGTGTGATTTAAGGTCCCTTTGTATTTAGCTGGCTGTGTGCAGGCAGGAACATCTCTTTGTGTTTTAGTACGTTGTGTGCATTATGATTTGATGTGGCTGTTGGGGGGAAGGGAGAACAGAGCTCATTACCTTGTCGGGGAGACTATTAGCTATGAAGAGAGGTTGGTTTTTTGTTGTTTTTATACATCAGCCCTGGCCTGTAGTGACCAGGGTGAAAAAACAGGGTAATTTTGGATTTGGAGAGAGGTTCCTACTTACTTCAACCACACAAGAGTCTGTCTCTCTCTCTCCTTGGCTTGCCAATAATGAGGGGGGGGGGAGGGACATAATGTCGAGGCAGGTTTGTGAGAGCATATGGCCCTAGTTCAACCCCAATCCTCCTAACTACCTAAAATGGTGATGGTGCTTGGATTTGGTACTAAACAAAAGACATACGAGGTCGCCCAAAAGAATGCACTGGGAGGACTCGGGCTCCGGCTGGTGTATTCCTCTCTTTCCAGCTCCTATGCAGGAGGAGCCATTTGTCTCGACTCGCTTTTGCCACAAGCAGTGGGGTATAAATTAGTACAGCACACGCAGAGAAGGGGATGTGAGCAGAGAGCCCGTCTAGGTCATAGCAGGCATTCTAGTGTGTACATCCTAATTAACGGCAGATCAGAGGGGTGATGTGCTGCGGCTGCTGCTTTGACTCAAGCTGTTTCTCTGAGGCAGAGACAGAGGCTTATGCTGAGACGATCCAAATCGGGCCTGTCTCTGTTCGGCTAATACACTTCTCTCCAGCAGGCGTTTACAGTGAATGGGCAAAGCGAAGTTGGTGCCTGGTTTGTTTCCTGATCGATTTCCTATTTCCTCCCTCCCCCCACCCCAACTCCTTCACTGCAGGGTTAGCGTTTCTCGCTTGCATGAACAAGAGAGCGTGAATTGCACCAGATCCGCTCGGGCTTTAGCAACTAAGCCGGCCTAGGGAAGGACAGAGGCTGTCCAGCCCCGTGGTGTGGGCACAACGGGGCTGGGTGTTTGTCCTACACCATCTACCCTTCTTTGGAAACGGACAGTGGTGCCAAGGAGGGTGGCTCCTGGCTCTCCTCCTCTTCGAGAACATAAATAGGAACAAAGCCCCGGCTCCTGGAGGGGGGGGGGGTCTCCCCCCCCCTCTGCGTCTGCAGAAAAAAACAACTGGTGGCCAGTTGTACCGCTCTAGTCAATACCCCCTTGTCTCTAGTTGTTGTTTGTTTCGCCACCAACGGATTAAGATTAAAGGTGGATCTCTATTCCCATTGGCTCCCTGGGATGGGACGCCTGTGGTGACGTACGCGTGATTTGCATATGACATTGAAACGTCACCCAGGCCAGCCCTCCTCCACAACACATATTGAAGTTGTCCTCTTTTGACCTGTGCTGAGGGAGGTAATGTGCTCAGTGCTGGTCTGCAGCACATTCCTTTGACAGCTTTGTAGGCAAAAGACAGTCGGTAATATTTTTATCTTTGCCTTACTGAGCAAGGCAAGGTCAGGCTGCTCAACTGAATAAGGCTGAGCAAGGGGAGGAAATATTAATGCTCACCTTTGCTCTAGGAAATTATCCTTAGTGGTAGCTGCACTGCTAGCCAGAACTTGGAGGTTGCTTCACTGAGCTATATTAATAGCTATATATAATTTAGTATTGACACATGCAGATTAGCATGCCTAACCTATTTTTTTCATACCATTAAGATGACAAAACGTTCAACTAGGCCACAGTAGTTGAGTGAAATGAAATACTAGGGCTGGATAAAAATGTTCCACATTAAATATCATTTAATACCTAATCAATAATGCAGATCCCGGATTGCTCCATTAACTAGAAAAAATAAATAGGAAAGTTATTTTAGTGCTATGGCTGCTCCATAAATATTTCTAATGGGGAGGGGAGAGAAAATACTTTAAACATTTGCAGCTGCTCGAGTAAGTCTGAAACTCAAAAACTTTTTTAGATCAAAACTTTCAAATGCATCCCATGCAAAACTGGTGTAATACCTTTATAATAAGTTATTTGGACTGGAAATGCTGCCATCACAAAATGCTAGTTACAGGTTTATTTAAGCTAAATCCTGTACATCCCATATTACTGAAGTTTTGACTAGTTAGATTTTTAGACCCTGATTCAGCAAAGCACTTAAGCGAATGCATGAAGTCCCATTAACTTCAGTGGGATTTAGGCATAGGCTTAAATGCTCCGCTGAAGGTCCTGGTGTCCTTCATGTTGGGCCTTAGCAGATTGACAGATGCAAATACCGGCACTGGTATGGTGAAGTGTATGCTACAACCCTCTCTGCACTATGGAAGTTTACACGAACAGCAACAAATCTCACTGTTCAACTGAACTTGTGTTAGACGCACATCAGCCCTACTGCAGGCAAATTCTGGCTGCTGGACCTGTTCTTACCACTTGCTTTTCAGGTGGTTAGAAATGTCAGAAGTCATTAGATCATCGTCTACTCTAGGGGCCGGATTTTCATAAGGGCTGAGCAGTCAGCAGCGTCCTTTAAGTCACCTACATTAACTGGCCAGAGCAATGGAAGCTGCGAGATGCTGAGCCTCTGAAAATCTGGCTCTAGTTGTGGGTTCTTAGCAATGGGGAGGGGGAGTCTAGCTTCAGTTCACCAGTGCTAGAACTAGTGGAAGCCCTGGGATAAGGAGTGGGGGGAATCATTTTGTAAATTTCCCCACGGTAGACAGAATCTAAGGGGTAGATACACCCCCCCACTCAGAGCCCAAACCAAGGCCTAGATGCTATTTAAGCCTAGGGAGATTAAAGCACTGTCCCTGCTACAAGAAATACCCACCGCTGACTGTGCACGTCAATAATGGGTGCAGCTGAACAGGTATTGACCATGGTTTTCTGCAAGCATAGACAAGGGCATGCTGTGTATCAGAAGCCATGATTAAAACTTGTTTGGGGCTTTGTGTTCTGCCCAGGGCCAGGGGTGAGTTTCACCCAATTCCTTCCCTTCCTTAAAAAGCTTTCCTTTTCTACAATACCTACAAACAAAAAACTTGACAATGGTTAGGCCACTGGTGTACTGGGACCACAGCCTATCAAACTGACCAATATTGTCTCAGTGTTTTCTTGTGTTCCCCCATCAGCCGGTCTCCATCTGTTGGATGATATTTAGATTGTAAACTCTTTGGGGCAGGGACTGTCTTTTTGTTCTGTTTGTACAGCACCTCACACAATGGGGACCTGGTTCATGATTAGGGCGCCTCAGTGCTCCAGTAATATAATAATCTAGTTTATAATTCTGCCACATTTAGTCTCAGACATATTTAAAAAAAAAAAAAACTTTGCCCTTCAATAAGTTTTCCCCCCACTCTTCCCAATAGCAGCAGAGAGACCTGCTTAAAAAAAAAAATCAAATTGTCACAGTAAACATTCCATGGTTTACATCAAAATCTCTGAATATCTGAATGAATGTATGAGATGCCAGCAGTTTTAGTTTGAGGAATAATTTTGCACTAACATCCAGTGCTTGCAGCCAAGAGTAAAGACCTCTGAGTTAAAATAAATTATTTCTTTGGCCCTGATCCTACAATAAGCTCGGCCCAGGCAGATCAACCATGCAACCCACAGAGCCCTAACTGAGCGCTGTGCAGATACAGGGCTCCAACCCCATGGTGCTCATTGTAGGATTGAGACCTTTGTATTTTGAAAGTAAAATGTTCCAGATTAGCATTCAGTCTTATGGTTTTACATAAAAATTAGCAATTGGCCTGTTCATCCCTTGATAAACATATATACAGGTACTCCTATTAATATTGTTACATATCTGCATCAAAAGGAGACCAAGGTGGCTTCAAAAAAATCCACATGCTAAACCATGGTGCTTTTGTATATCGCAGCCGGTTGAAAAAGCCCAGACTTCTGGGTAATGTCTTGAAGTCTACTCTTGGCTTTTCTCCACATAAGGCATGTAACGTATTAAATTTATCCTCAGTGAAGTGCCACTGACTCCAATGGATTTATATCAGGGACAAATTTGACCCATTGGGTGTTGCTTTCAGCAAAGCTGTTTTCACTGTGGGAGTTGCAGTGTATTTGTATGCCTGGGGTTTGTACTTCTCTCAACTTCTCACCCATGAGACTGAGAACACCCTTGTGCCCACTTCAGTGACAGAACAAAACCTATCAACTTCAGTGAGGTGTTGGGACAGGATTCTTAAAGGGATGCTGCCAAGCGTAACATTTTTTGGGAGGGTGGAAAAACCCCCACACCTTTCCTTCTCTCCACCACAAGTTACTTAGAGTGGTTATTTTGTCACCTGAAATAGCTATAAAACCCATGTATGATGTATGTTTGCTTTCTGCATTTCACTCAGCTTGGAGAATGAAACTAGATAGTTTCATTTTTCTGGTTCTCCTGCACAATGCCAGAGTGCCTTGGTCCACAGTATGTGAGCAATCAAAGCAAAAGTAGTCTTGTCCACTGAATGTAAAACTTACTGATAAAAAACATTTTTCTTCATATTAGATTTTCCAACTACAGAGCACCTCTTCAGCATTTAATAACTGATAAGGCCCCGAGCCTGAATTCAATCTTCACAGACCGACCCTTGAGCCCAAGTGACACGCTACTGGAGTCGATGGCTCTACATAGGTCCTAATCCTGCAATTGGCTAACTTTGAGCATCAATTAACATGGACAAAATTCCCTTTGGGAAATGCATTAATGGATTTAGTTCACTGTTAGTTGGCAGCCACATATAGACACTGGGGTTGATCTGCAGAGATTTTTTTTTTTTTTTTTAAATGATGGA